GGCCCTATGGTTAACTCATATTCAAACTCGCTCAACTAATACTAAGTCGGACCAGGCTCGCAAGACGCGAAAAAAAACATGGGCGCATATGGGAATCTCCTCGTCGCATAGTTCGCAGCCGCAACGCGCTATTCAGGAGGAAAGGGATTGCATCACGCAACACCCATCCTCCCATGGAACGGGCGCAACGCCTGCGCGCACCGCAGAATGCCTGCGAACACCGCAGTTCGCCTGCAAGCAAAACGTTGACCTGCAAACACCATGACCTGCATGCGAACACCACTTTGCAATTGAGACCACCACTAAGCAAGGAGGTACACAGAAACCTGCCAGAACTGCAATATTCTGCGAACACCACCATATTTCAAACGGGATGCAGGACCTTGCCAATATCAATATAGCACGCGAGCGCCAAAACCTGACAGTATGTACCGCTATGGCCTGCACGCACCAAAATTGTATCACAAGTATGCACAAGGGTGCACATTGGTATGCTGGACCCTGCGATCACCCCAATATCCTAGCAACCTGCGAACGCTACGACGCCGGCGAACACGACAAAATACCCCTGACCCGTGAACATCCCAGTATCTTACGAGCGCAACTCAAGGTGCCCGTAAGCAGCACAATCAATACGCTAACGATGGCCAGACAGCGAAGGAATTCTAACAATGTCGCTACCTCAAACGCATCCGACCGCCACACAACATTCGCAGCAGCATGCTGGATCCTACGCGTACAACAGCCTGCGAGCACCAACACAGCCTGCGAGCACCACAGCCTTCGCACACCACAACAGCCTGTGAGCGCCATTAATTAGCCATACGAAGGACCCAACCATTTGCAGCTGCGAGTATCTCGAGGCAGGTGAGACGACGGAGGGGGGCCAGCAAAAGGCATGCGAACACCACCACTGGGAACATCGGTGAAGCTCACTATAGTGCCACGATCCTCGTGAGAGATGTGCCGAGCTGGCCCGGTTCCGCCATGCGGACCCTACCACTGAGGCCTTCAGTGGAGCTCCCTGTGGGGCCACGATCCTGGTGAGGAGTGTGCCGAACTGGCACGAGCCCGCCATCTGAGCCCTGCCACTGTGGCCTTCAGGTGGAGCTCCCCGTGGGGCCACGATCGTCGTGAGGGGTGTGCCGAACTGGCCCGAGTCCGCCATGCGGGCCCTGCCACTGGGGCCTTCGGTGGAGCTCCCTATGGGGCCACAATCCTCGTGAGGAGTGTGCCGAAATGGCCCGAGTCCGCCAGTCGGACCCTGCCACTAGGGCTTTCGGTAGAGCTCCCTATGGGGCCACGATCCTCGTGAGGGGTGTGCCTAACTGGCACGAGTCCGCCATGCGGGCCCTGCCGCTGGTGCCTTCGGTGGAGCTCCAAAGATCCTGCCACCTGCCTTCGGTGGGACCATCGGTGAAGCTCCAGATGTGCCGAACCTGCCCGAGCCATCCATGCGCAACCTGCCACTGAGGCCTTCTTTGGAGCTCCCTACGGGGCCACGATCCTCGTGAGGGGTGTGCCGAACTGGCCCGAGTCCGCCATGCGGGCCCTACCACTGGGGCATTCGATGAAGCTCCTTATGGGCCCACGATCCTCGTGAGGGGTGTGCCGAGCTGGCCCGATTCCGCCATGCGGACCCTGCCACTAGGGCCTTCAGTGGAGCTCCCTATGGGGCCACGATCCTCGTGACCGGTGTGCCGAACTGGCCCGAGTCCGCCATGCGGGCCCTGCCACTGGGGCCTTCGGTGGAGCTCCCTATGGGGCCACAATCCTCGTGAGGAATGTGCCGAAATGGCCCGAGTCCGCCAGTCGGACCCTGCCACTGGGGCTTTCGGTAGAACTCCCTATTGGGCCACGATCGTCGTGAGGGGTGTGCCGAAACGGTGGACCTGCGGAGACCAGAGGCACGATGCTTCCCCTGGTGAAGATTAGGATGATGTGGATGATGACTCTGGCGATGGTGATGACGATGACGATGACGATGACGATGACGATGACGATGATGATGATGATGATGATGATGATGATGATGACGATGATGATGCTGATGATGTTGGTGATGATGATGCTGATGCTGATGCTGATGCTGATGCTGATGATGATGATGATGGTGATGATGATGATGATGATGATGATGATGATGGTGATGATGCTGCTGCTGCTGATGATGATGATGGTGATGATGATGATAATGGTGACGATGCGGACTTGCGGAAGGCAAGCAAAGGCAGGGATGGGAGCAGGGGGAGACCAGAGGCAGGGAGGGGAGGAGGAAGGAGGGGGACGAAAAGAGGAGAGGAGAGGAGAGGAGAGGAGAGGAGGAGAGAAGGAAAGGAGGAGGAGGAGACGCGGGGCGCTGCCTCTTCAAAACGAGGACCCAACACCACAGGATGGTTGGGGAAAAAACACGACTATGCACAACAGTACGCCTGACTTTGCCAACACCACGGTATGCCTGTGAGCCGAGTGCCACAGTGCACTTGCGGCCTTCAGACGACAAAGGAAGCCAGACCCTCCCAACATGTTGCCAGCCCTGCGAGCGCCAGTTTGCCAACGCAGCGAGCGCCACACGATGCCTTTCATACCCACAGTGCGCCTGCGACAGGCAAGCGGTGAATGAAGCCAGGCCCTGATGCCACCACAAAAAGCCTGCTTAGATAGCCAGTCGCATGCACAACATAACGTCGAAACCGAACACCTCCAGCCTGCCAGTATTCGATCATTCGTGTGAGCACCAAGGCGTGCCTACGAGAACAATAATCTGCCTGCGAGAGCCACTGAATGGTTCTGAGAATTACAGCCGGCCTGCAACTACCAGAACAACATGGCCAACACCATAGTACACCTGTGCGCGCTACATAATACCGGCAGGTACCGCATAATGGCTACGAGCAGCACAGCAAGCAGGCGAACAGCACAACGAAGAGCCGACCAACACCGAACCAGAGTGAGACCACCACAGTGTGCGCGCGAGCATCGCACAGCACCCTGCTGGCACCACTGCCCAGGACCACCACAACACGTTCATGACCAGAAGACAGAGGCCAGCGACGCGGCCGTAAGAAGAATTCGTGTCCGCGGCAACCCTAGGATCTACGAGGGAAAGCGCCCATCCTCGATAGGGGTCCGTCCGAATAGCCCCCTAGGAGGGTCTTCCATGGCTTCCTTCCTCTTCTGAGCGGCTTCATTGCTCGTCGAGAAGTCGGGGGTTAGGGGAGAGAACCCGCCTGCGGGGGGGAGCGGCGTACGGTTGTCGGTGGAAAGTGGGAAGTAGGGCATACCGCCCGCTGTGGCCCAGACGTTGAAATCAAAACCTCGCCGAAGACATGGCGGGCAGAACCGCGACGAACTCAAACCCGATGAAGTCGGACCAGTCGGCTCAAAGCATTTCTCCGCGCCAGTCGCCCTCTGGAGGGCAAGGACTCCCCTTTCTGCGCAACCCTGTACAACAAACTGAAGCTCTCTTCGAGGTCTGCTTTGGAGCACACACACATATATCTATGTATATATATGAGTGTTTACATATATACATATATACTAGAACCACTCGCGCTTCGCGCGCACTTAGGTTCTAGCGCTGACCCAACGATTGCGAATGCGAGCTCGGACAGGAAGAGGAGCAAGCGGATCGGCTGGAGCATCATAGTTATCAGCTGCAGGGTTCTCCTGGACCTCCTTACCCCCTCTCCGCCTCCTCTTCCTCCTCCTCGTCTCCCCGTGATCCTGCTCCTGCCCCTGCTTTCCAGCTACTTATTCCCTTCTCCTCGGCCTCCTCCTCGTCCCCTCCGCTCTTGATGTTCACGTCCTGCCAGTCCTCTTTCTCTTTCTCTTTCTCCCCCTCCTCCTCCTCCTCCTCCTCCTCCTCCTCCTCCTCTTCCTCCTCCTCCTCCTCCTCCTCCTCCTCCTCCTCCCCCTTCTCTTCCTCCTTCTGCAAGTCCCCCTCGTCCTCCTTCTATCTCTCCCGTCTTCTCCTGCTTTCCTGCCGCCCCCCGCTCTCCTCATTATCGTCCTCTTTTCCGCGTTCTCCTCCTGCCGTGTCTCCATTTCCTCCTCCTCCTCCTCATTCTCCTCCTCCTTCTCCTCCTCCTGCTCCTCCTCCTGCTCCTCCTCCTCCTCCTCTGCCTCTTCCTCCTCCAGCTCCTCTTCCTCCTCCTCCTCCTCCTCCTCCACCTCCTCCTCCTCCTCGGCTGGCTCTTGGGCCGTCATAGGGAGCCTCTTGAGGGCGTCTTGGGGGTCTCTTGGGCAGTCTCGGGGCGGTCTTGTGTGCTTCGGGGGCCGCCGTGGAGCGTCGGGAGGCGAAAACGTTGTGCATGTCAGAAGTGTGCGCTTCCCATTGAGCATGAAAAATTTAAACCTATCAGGGCTCTCTTGGGAAGGCTCTTGGGCCTGCCTTGGGCGGTCGTGGGGGCCTCTGGGGCAAACTTGGGGCCACCTTGGAGCGCTCTTGGGGCCTGTCTTGGAGCGCATTTGGGGCACTCTGGAGCTGACTGGGCTGCTCCAGGGAGGCTCCGGGGCCCCCATCTCCCCATGGAGGGTCCAGGCAGCCGACTTTGGGCCGCGGCCAAGCCCCCCAGAGAGAGATATATATATGTATATGTGTATATATATGATGTGTATATACATACATGAATTAATACATATACAAGTGTGTGTATAAACACACATATACACATATGCATAGACGTATGTATGTATACACTCTAACGCGGCCTACGTACGGGACGCGTGTGCCGAGAGTGTGGTGCTGCAGCGAATTGGGCTCGCTCCTGCATGGGCTCAATGTCCCCTGCTGCCCTGTGAACGAACTATGGCAGCTCTTTTTTACAACATGGGAGCACCTCCTCCTCCTCCTCCCTCCTCCTGCTCCTCCTCCTCCTCCTCCTGCTCTTCCTCCTCCTCCTCCTCTTCCTCCTCCTCCTGCTCCGCCGCCTCCTCCTCCTCCTCCACCTCCTCCTCCTCATCCTCCTCCTCCTCGGCCGAACTGTAGCAGCTCTTTTTTACAAAATGGGAGCACCTATGCGACCTTCTCACTTGACGCGCCGGCGGGGTTACAAACACAATCACAATGAACTGTCAAGGAAAATCTGTACGCGTTGCTGCAGGCCTCTTCTCGGGCACCATGCTCGTGCAACCGTCTTGAAATCGCAACAGGGCACTACCGCCAGCCAGCTAACACGACGGGAGCTGAAGAGCAGCTACGCACGCAGGACAGCGAATCTCGACAGGTCGAGGTGAGCCGACCTCCTGAATTTACCAAAAGAGGCGCAACTGAACTGCCCACGCACCCCGCGATCCACCTAAGCAGGAACCTGCAAGTGCACCTCATGAGATGCTTCTCCGAATCACCCCTGCACTCCAGACACTACAGACGAGGACACACTTCCAAAAGCCGAACGTGGTCCGTCCAACTTTTCCCAGAAGCCAGAGGGGGCCTCATTACTCCTCTCAGCCGAGATACCGCCGAAAGAAGCAAATGTTCTGCTTGGGGCTCAAAGGTGTCGTCCTTGTGCACTGGTCGTTTCATTTCTAACGCAAAACCCCAATGGCGCGGACGAGCGCGATACGAACCCTCCGCCACACCTACCAGCACGGAAGCGCACCTGCTCAGATAGCTGAGCAAGGAACACGCGCACATGGGCACGCGATCTCAAACGGATCTGTCCAGAAAAAGCGGCAACACCTCTGCCATATTTGGATCGGCCCCGGCGCCAGACGGTCGTTCTGCGATTGATCGGGAATTCATGGCTACAGTTAGGTCGGGCGTGTCCTCCTGCAGGCGGATTCTGGAAGGAGACAAAACACAACTTCTTCTGGCGAAGGACCCAACCATATGCAGTTGTGGGTACCGCAATTGTGAATATCTCCTTCGGTGAAGCTCCCTATGGGGCCACGAAGCGGTGGAGCTCCCTATGGGGCCACGAAACGCTGTACTGGGTGGGGGGACGCATGCGGACGGTGAAGCTCCCTATGGGGCCACGAAGCGCTGTACTGGGTGGGGGGAACGCATGCGGGCGGTAGCACTGGGGGCTTCGGTGGAGCTCCTCCATATGGGGCCACGGAACGTTGCACAGGGTGGGTAGAATGCCAAGTTGGGCTTCCCGGACGCATGCGGGCGGTCCCACTGGGGGCTTCGGTGGAGCTCCCTCTATGGGGCCACGAAGCGCTGTACTGGGTGGGTGAAAATGCCAAATTGGGTTTCCCGGACGCATGCGGGCGGTCCCATTGGGAGCTTCGGTAGGGCTCCTTATGGGGCCACGAAACGCTGTACTGGGTAGGTGAATACCAAATTGGGAGTTCCGGGACGCAAGCGGACGGTCCCATTGGGGGCTTCGGTGGAGCTCCCTCTATGGGGCCACGAAGCGCTGTACTGGGTGGGTGAAAATGACAAATTGCGTGATCCGGGACGCATGCGGGCGGTCCCACTGAGGGCTTCGGTGGAGCTCCCTATGTGGCCACGAAGCGCTGTACTGGGCGTGAAACGCAATGCGGATGGTCCCACTGGGGCCGTCGGTGGGGGTGCGTGTGTGCGTGTGTACGTGTGTGCGTGTGTGTGCGTGTGTGCCTGAATGTGTGCATTGTGTGTGTGTGGTGTGTGTGGTGTGCGTGGTGTGTGTGGTGTGTGTGTTGCGTGTTGTGTGTGTGTTATGTGTTGTGTGTGGTGTGCGTTGTGAGTTGTGTGTTGTGTGGTGTGTGTTGTATGGTCTGTGTTGTATGGTGTGTGATGTGTGTTGTGCGTGTTGTGTAGTGTATATTGTGTGTTGTGTGGTGTGTGTTGTGTTGCGTGTTGCGTGGTGTGTATTGTGTGTTGTGTGTTGTGTGTTGTGCGCTGTGAGTTGTGTGTTGTGTGTTGTGGTGTGTTGTGTTTCGTGTGATGTGTGTTGCGTGTTGCGTGTTGCGTGTTGTGTGCTGTGTGTTGTGCGTTGTGCGTTGTACGTTGTGCGTTGGGCGTTGGGCGTTGTGGTGTGTTTTTTGTGTTGTGTAATGTCTGTTGTGTTGTGCTGTCTGTTGTGTGTTGTGTAGTGTGTGCTGTGTTGTGTGTTGTGAGGGGTGTGTTGCATTGTGCGTGATGTGTTGTGTGTTGTGTGCTGTGTGTTGTCTGTTGTGTTTTGTGTGATGTGTGTTGCGTGTTGCGTGTTGCGTGTTGTGTGGTGTGTGTTGTGTGTTGTGTGTGTTGTGTGTTGTGCGTGCGTGCCTGCGTGGGTGCGTGGGTCCGTGGGTGCATGCGTGTGCGTGTGCGTGCGTGTGTGTGTGTGTGTGCGTGTGTGCGTGCGTGCGTGCGTGCGTGCGTGTGTGTGTGCGTGTGTGTGCGTCTGCGTCTGCGTCTGCGTCTGCGTCTGCGTCTGCGTGTGCGAATGCGTGCGCGTGCGCGTGCGCGTGCGCGTGCGCGTGCGCGTGCGCATGCGCGTGCGCGTGCGCGTGCGCGTGCGCGTGCGCGTGCGCGTGCGCGTGTACGTGTGCGTGTGCGTGCGAGCGTGTGAGTGTGTGTGTGCGTGTGTGTGTGCGTGTGTGTGTGCGTGTGCGTGTGTGTGCGTGTGCGTGTGTGTGTGTGTGTGCTTGTGCTTGTGCGTGTACGTGCGCGTGCGGTTGCGCGTGCGCGTGCGCGTGTGCGCGTGCGTGCGTGCGTGTGTTCATGTAACCCGAGGAGGCAGAGATTACTGACTGCAAGCGTGACCAGCATGCCCCCCCTCACCCCCACAAGCCGACTAGAACTCTTCAGCGGCCTGAAGCAGTGTGCGCCCCCACCCCAAGGTCAGACGCCTCCAAACAGGACCGCATCCACCCTGTCGACCCTCTGCACCTGGGATGCCTGCACCGCCCCTGACAGACTCACAGTGTGTGACAGTTCTGGAGAGATGCTGCGATTCCTGCAAAGATCTGGAAGGCGAGGCTCCGCCCCCAACCCACGCGGGCGAGGAGAGGTAGTCCTTCACATGCGTCCGACTCAGCGCAGCGGCGAGTCCGCGTACAGAGACCAGTCACCCCAGGCCTGGCCAGTGAGGCCGTTCTGGAAGAACATGCCGATAATAGCCATCATTGCGAGCCTGCCGTTGTTGATCTCGGCCAGCAACTTTCTCTCCTTGGTTTCCTTCAGGAGGCGCGCAAACGTGTTCCAACCAACCCTCTGGGCATAAATGGTTTCACTGGTCATTTCACCATCTATTTTCCGCGTCCGGGAGGTTGTTGCTCCGTTCCCATGCCCCCTCCCCAGCGTGCCAACGGGAAAATGCAAGGGGTTGCAGCGGCCAAGAATGCCCTGGATGGCTCCAAGATGGCCTCCAGTAATGCAAGTGATAGTCTAAATTCGACCTGGATATCCTTCAGCATGCTTCCAACAGGCCTCAATACTACCATGGCGCGGCTCGAGGCGGCCGTGAGCTCAGGGGGCCGCGCATGGTAGACGACCTGGAGGACCTGGACAAGATTGGAGTCGCGTGGAGGCCTTCTCTGGACGCCTGATGTTCTCGAAATGTATGATCGGTCTATCTGAGGGGCCGTCTTATACGCCCCTGCCCCCTTGGGGCCGACACCTTGGGGCCCTAAGGCGTGTGAGATCATTGCCCCCTATCCACCAGCGTACCGGTGGCACGAAAAGGAGTGCCCCCATGCTCACAGCTGTGCTGCTGTTGCAGCCATTATTCTAGAGTCTTAAGGGCCAGGACCCCCAGTTTCCCAGCAGCTCCTGGGAACTCATGGGAATTTCTGGGATCTCTTGGGGTGTGTCGCGTGCGTCTTCTGGAATCCAAGAGGGTCACAGAATTCCCTTCTGTGATTTTTTTCCCACAGAATCCCCTTCTGTGCGTGTGTGTTTGTGTGTGTGTGTCTGTGTGTGCGCGTGTGTGTGTGTGTGTGTGTGTGTGCGTGCGTGCGTGCGTGCGTGCGTGCGTGCGTGCGTGCGTGCATGCGTGCGTGCGTGCGTGCGTGCGTGCGTGCGTGCGTGCGTGCGTGCGTGTGTGTGTCTGTGTCTGTGTCTGTGTCTGTGTCTGTGTCTGTGTCTGTGTCTGTGTCTGTGTCTGTGTCTGTGTCTGTGTCTGTGTGTGTCTGTGTGTTTTTTGTGTGTTGTTGCTGTGTGTTTTCCCAAAGACTGGGTGCTTTTTTTTCCCACAGACTGTTTTTGTGTTGATCGTGGGACTTGCCGCCGCTTGATATGGTAGCCCAGGGAAAAGTCGTGGGGAAGCGGGACTCCCGAGTCTGCCTCCGCCTTGCGCGGTGCCCCGGGACCCGGACCTTCTGTAGCCACGCCTGGTCATGTGTATGTAGTTTTGTGTGTACGTGTGCCTGCATTATAGTTATATTTGGAGATACATACTTTATATATACATACACCTATATATATATATATATATGTGGTGATATAGTTGGATATATACTCGAAGTATTATTTGTATGTACGTGTACCTGCATGCACGTAGAAAGAACTATAGATATACGCATCTATAATTGGCCCTCGGACCATCCCGCCTGTGTGTCAAAGCCCTCTCGGGTGTTCGTTGGCACCTCGTAGGAAGCCAGTCGGGAACCTCGTCGAGGGCGGCTGTGAAGTCTCTTGGGGGCCGTTTTGGGTCTTCTTGGGGCCTCTTTCGGGCCTCTTGAGGGCCTCTTTGGCCCTCTTGGGGGGCATCTGGGGAACCTCGAGGCGCCTCGTCGGGGCCTCTTTGGGCCTCCTGGGGGCCTGGGGGGGCGGAAGGCTGGAATTGTGGTTTCGTGTTCCCCCTCTTGGGCCGTCTTGGGAGGCCTCTTGGGCCGTCCTGGTGCCGTCTCGAATCATCTTTGGGCTCCCGAGAGGTCTCTGACGCCGTCTTGGGGCTGTCTTGGCCGCCTCTTGAGCCGTCTAGAAGGGTTGAAGCCCAAAGCGGTAAGAACGCCCAAAGCCTTCAAGCAAAAACGTAGGACAATCTATAACTGTTGCCTCTTTGGGCACTCGTCGGGATTCTCTTGGAGCCTTCTAGAGCCTTCTTGGGCCGCCTTAGGGGCGTCTTGGTCCGTTTGGGAAGCTTCTTGAGCCGTCTGAAACCCCTGGAGGCCGTCTCAGGGGTGGCTCGGGGCCGCCTTGGGCCGCCGGGACGGCTGTCTGGGCCGAGTTGCAGCACCCCAACAGCGGGCACGGCCCCGAATCGCCTCGAAAAAGGGTCGGCCCCCACCCGGGACTTTGAACAAGTGTGCCGCCGCCCGGGGCCAGGGGCCCGGTTCCCCGTTATATGATCTCTCTCTATATATATACACGTACATACATACATACATACATACATACATACATACATACATACATACATACATACATACATACATACATACATACATACATTACATTACATTACATTACATTACATACATACATACATACATACATACATACATACATACATACATACATACATACATACATACAATCATTCATTCATTCATTCATGCATGCATGCATGCATGCATGCATGCATGCATGCATGCATGCATACATACATACATACATACATACATACATACATACATACATACATACATACACACATACCTACATGCATGCATGCATGCATGCCTGCATACATACATATGTGTATATATGAGTGGATCTGTGTACACGTCCGTCGGAAGAAGTAGGTAGAAACATGAAGTAGGAAGGCGGATATAGTGGATTGGGTCCAGGTCCTCCCAGGGAATAACAAAACACAGCAAAAGCATGCCGATTCTTGAAGTAGGAAGGCGCTTGAAGAAAATTGGGATCTGGGAATCCAAAAATACCTACTTTCAACGACCGGCGTGTAACATATGTCTATGTACTCTAAAATATGACCAGGTCACGCATCCTCGCCAGTTACGCCGCAGCGGGCGCCTGGCGCAGTCGCCAGGCCAAGGCGAGTTGCTTCTTGGGCGAAAGGGGCCCGCGAGGTGTGACCTGGGTGTCCACCTAATAATTGACTGGGGGGCGCGTCCGCATCTGAGCCAACCAAAACGAGCCGGCGCCAACGCACCAGCACTCGAGCCAAAATAGTCGACGACCGTCGTCTTTTCGCCAGACCCAAGCTTCCCAACCACGAAGACAGGAAAAAGATTATGCCGAAGGGGATGGAACCCGAATGCCTGGGGCACAGGGCCATCGGCTATGGACGGAGGCCTTCGGATGTCCATTACACAGGGCTTTCTTCTTAGTTCAAAGATGTCGCGATGAACCCATGTCGCACATTTACTTCATCACTGCGTATGGTATGGATTACACAGTAAGCCTGGTTTATCTCACTGTACTTCACATGTGTAGCACCATTGTCCACTGATGCCGCACAGATGCGTGCGTAAGCCACACATTTTTCAACGCGACGTGACGTACAGGGTCACTTTGGCTGCGATTGCTCCGAATCCCGAAGCTGAACACGCGATCGTATCTGCAGCAAACAAGGACGGACCTAATATCACCTTCTCTGCAGGTTTCTCTACCGCGATAAACGAAACAAACCAAGATAATCAAACTCCATTGACCTCGTTTCAAACACTACCTGCCTTACAAGGCGCAAATTCTCTAGCCTACGAATGGGAACCCGAGCCATGGACGATGCCACGCACACATAAGAAACACACACACAAACACAAACACACACACACACAACAAAATCGATTGACTGCCCTGTTGTCCTTGTCCGCAATGCTGGCGCCGCCCGGGAGGCCCAGGGCACCGAAGCCGTCGTAGTCGCCAGGGTACTCCTTGGGCTCGCTGCTCAAGAAATTCACCTCCAGGATGCCCGCGAGCGCAATGATCTGGGTCCAGCCGACGAGTGGGATCGCGTAGATGGCCCCGAACCCGTTCGGAATGTCTGCGAACGCAAGCTTCTCAGAGGGCGAGATGAATCCAGGCCACCTGAAGTACTCGGGCACGATGTACCCAATGCACGCGAACATGGCCACGCGGCCGTGCTGGATCTCGATGATGCGGCGACGCCTGAACTGAGTCGCAGCCACGGCCGGGTCAGGGTACTTGGACAGGCCCAGGGGGTCCCAGAAGCCAAGCGGCGGGCACGCGCCGAGCTGCGTGGAGATGTCAATCACAGGACCCTTCGCCGCACGCAGCGGCGAGTCCGCGTACAGAGACCAGTCGCCCCAGGCCTGGCCGGTCAGGCCGTTCTGGAAGAACATGCCGATGATGGCCATCATGGCGAGCCTGCCGTTGTTGATCTCGGCGAGCAGCTTCTTCTTCTTGGTCTCCTTGTCCGCAATGCTGGCGCCGCCCGGGAGGCCCAGGGCACCGAAGCCGTCGTAGTCGCCAGGGTACTCCTTGGGCTCGCTGCTCAAGAAATTCACCTCCAGGATGCCCGCGAGCGCAATGATCTGGGTCCAGCCGACGAGTGGGATCGCGTAGATGGCCCCGAACCCGTTCGGGATGTCTGCGAACGCAAGCTTCTCAGAGGGCGAGATGAATCCAGGCCACCTGAAGTACTCGGGCACGATGTATCCAATGCACGCGAACATGGCCACGCGGCCGTGCTGGATCTCGATGATGCGGCGACGCCTGAACTGAGTCGCAGCCACGGCCGGGTCAGGGTACTTGGACAGGCCCAGGGGGTCCCAGAAGCCAAGCGGCGGGCACGCGCCGAGCTGCGTGGAGATGTCAATCACAGGACCCTTCGCCGCACGCAGCGGCGAGTCCGCGTACAGAGACCAGTCGCCCCAGGCCTGGCCGGTCAGGCCGTTCTGGAAGAACATGCCGATGATGGCCATCATGGCGAGCCTGCCGTTGTTGATCTCGGCGAGCAGCTTCTTCTCCTTGGTCTCCTTGTCCGCAATGCTGGCGCCGCCCGGGAGGCCCAGGGCACCGAAGCCGTCGTAGTCGCCAGGGTACTCCTTGGGCTCGCTGCTCAAGAAATTCACCTCCAGGATGCCCGCGAGCGCAATGATCTGGGTCCAGCCGACGAGTGGGATCGCGTAGATGGCCCCGAACCCGTTCGGGATGTCTGCGAACGCAAGCTTCTCAGAGGGCGAGATGAATCCAGGCCACCTGAAGTACTCGGGCACGATGTACCCAATGCACGCGAACATGGCCACGCGGCCGTGCTGGATCTCGATGATGCGGCGACGCCTGAACTGAGTCGCAGCCACGGCCGGGTCAGGGTACTTGGACAGGCCCAGGGGGTCCCAGAAGCCAAGCGGCGGGCACGCGCCGAGCTGCGTGGAGATGTCAATCACAGGACCCTTCGCCGCACGCAGCGGCGAGTCCGCGTACAGAGACCAGTCGCCCCAGGCCTGGCCGGTCAGGCCGTTCTGGAAGAACATGCCGATGATGGCCATCATGGCGAGCCTGCCGTTGTTGATCTCGGCGAGCAGCTTCTTCTCCTTGGTCTCCTTGTCCGCAATGCTGGCGCCGCCCGGGAGGCCCAGGGCACCGAAGCCGTCGTAGTCGCCAGGGTACTCCTTGGGCTCGCTGCTCAAGAAATTCACCTCCAGGATGCCCGCGAGCGCAATGATCTGGGTCCAGCCGACGAGTGGGATCGCGTAGATGGCCCCGAACCCGTTCGGGATGTCTGCGAACGCAAGCTTCTCAGAGGGCGAGATGAATCCAGGCCACCTGAAGTACTCGGGCACGATGTACCCAATGCACGCGAACATGGCCACGCGGCCGTGCTGGATCTCGATGATGCGGCGACGCCTGAACTGAGTCGCAGCCACGGCCGGGTCAGGGTACTTGGACAGGCCCAGGGGGTCCCAGAAGCCAAGCGGCGGGCACGCGCCGAGCTGCGTGGAGATGTCAATCACAGGACCCTTCGCCGCACGCAGCGGCGAGTCCGCGTACAGAGACCAGTCGCCCCAGGCCTGGCCGGTCAGGCCGTTCTGGAAGAACATGCCGATGATGGCCATCATGGCGAGCCTGCCGTTGTTGATCTCGGCGAGCAGCTTCTTCTCCTTGGTCTCCTTGTCCGCAATGCTGGCGCCGCCCGGGAGGCCCAGGGCACCGAAGCCGTCGTAGTCGCCAGGGTACTCCTTGGGCTCGCTGCTCAAGAAATTCACCTCCAGGATGCCCGCGAGCGCAATGATCTGGGTCCAGCCGACGAGTGGGATCGCGTAGATGGCCCCGAACCCGTTCGGGATGTCTGCGAACGCAAGCTTCTCAGAGGGCGAGATGAATCCAGGCCACCTGAAGTACTCGGGCACGATGTACCCAATGCACGCGAACATGGCCACGCGGCCGTGCTGGATCTCGATGATGCGGCGACGCCTGAACTGAGTCGCAGCCACGGCCGGGTCAGGGTACTTGGACAGGCCCAGGGGGTTCAGGCCGTTCTGGAAGAACATGCCGATGATGGCCATCATGGCGAGCCTGCCGTTGTTGATCTCGGCGAGCAGCTTCTTCTCCTTGGTCTCCTTGTCCGCAATGCTGGCGCCGCCCGGGAGGCCCAGGGCACCGAAGCCGTCGTAGTCGCCAGGGTACTCCTTGGGCTCGCTGCTCA